TGATATGTTCCGAATGCAATACACGACAAAAGGTACAGGAGCAATGTGAAGCTTGTGGCACGCGATTCGGCAAGGTAAGCATTTATAGACTCATTTGTGTATTAAGCATATGCAATTATGTCCCAACAAACTTAAAAATATATATATATATATATATCTCCAACGTTTGAGAAATTTATAGTTCTCAAGTTGATATCCAAAAAAAATAAGGAAAAATCTTATTAAAAAGTTTAAAATTTGGATGCCGCTTTTCAATTAAAAAAAAAAAATAACCATCTAAAAGATTTTTTGACCAACTTTTTACAACAAATTTAAATTCCTCGGTTGAAAATCTATAAGAAAATTCCATAGGTAGGTCATTATGTCAACTTTCGAATCCATATTTTTCCATATTTTTGTATTACTCATCATTTTGTAGCTCTCAACTTAACCTGAAATTCAACTTAAACTTAAATATTTATTGGGGTTCATTGATACGCAGATAGTAAGGGAACTCTAAAGCATGTTTGCTTTACATAGGGATTAAGGCAACTAGATTATTATATTCGTCTTCCAATGTTCACATTGTGTGGTTCAACTTCAAAACGGATTGTTTTATGTTGTAGCCCTTTTTTGTTGCTTTCGTAGTATTTTGTTCTTCATCCAGAACTTCCTTTCCCTTTTTCGAAATAAAATACTTTAATACCTCTTTTGCTTAAGTAGAAATGGGTAGAGTTTTAATCGTCTGCCACCGAGGTGGTCAATGCCCGTGCACCATTGCGCNCTTTTCAATTCAAAAAAAAAAAAAAATAACCATCTAAAAGATTTTTTGATCAACTTTTTACAACAAATTTAAATTCCTCGGTTGAAAATCTACAAGAAAATTCCATAGGTAGATAATTATGTCAGCTTTCGAATCCATATTTTTCCATATTTTTGTATTACTCATCATTTTGTAGTTCTCAACTTAACCTGAAATTCAACTTAAACTTAAATATTTATTGGGGTTCATTGATACGCAGATAGTAAGGGAACTCTAAAGCATGTTTGCTTTACATAGGGATTAAGGCAACTAGATTATTATATTCGTCTTCCAATGTTCACATTGTGTGGTTCAACTTCAAAACGGATTGTTTTATGTTGTAGCCCTTTTTTGTTGCTTTCGTAGTATTTTGTTCTTCATCCAGAACTTCCTTTCCCTTTTTCGAAATAAAATACTTTAATACCTCTTTTGCTTAAGTAGAAATGGGTAGAGTTTTAATCGTCTGCCACCGAGGTGGTCAATGCCCGTGCACCATTGCGCCGTGTAATTAGACAACCAAGCTTACTGATGGAGATATCGCCCTGTTAGCCAGTTAGGACAAAACAACAGGCTCTGTTGCGGGGTCTGTATGGACTAAAACAGCTGCATCGCGAAGCGGTCCCACCTCTCTACCGAAGAAACCCATCTTTAAGGGGAAACTCAACAATATCCTCTTCCAACAAGGGGCATTACGCAGACCCCCAGTAGTCTAAATTTCGACAAAACCAATTTCGAATCAAAGCTCATTGACAAATACTCGTTATGCAANTTATTATTATATTATTATATTCGTCTTCCAATGTTCACATTGTGTGGTTCAACTTCAACACGGATTGTTTTATGTTGTAGTTCTTTTTTGTTGCTTTCGTAGTATTTTGTTCTTCATCCAGAACTTCCTTTCTCTTTTTCGAAATAAAATACTTTAATACCTCTTTTCCTTAAGTAGAAATGGGTAGAGTTTTAATCGTCTGCCACCGAGGTGGTCAATGCCCGTGCACCATTGCGCCGTGAAATTAGACAACCAAGCTTACTGATGGAGATATCGCCCTGTTAGCCAGTGAGGACAAAACAACAGGCACTGTTGCGGGGTCTGTATGGACTAAAACAGCTGCATCGCGAAGCGGTCCCACCTCTCTAACAAAGAAACCGATCTTTAAGGGGAAACTCAACAATATCCTCTTCCAACAAGGGGCATTACGCAGACCCCCAGTAGTCTAAATTTCGACAAAACCAATTTCGAATCAAAGCTCATTGACAAATACTCGTTATGCAAAAACAGGCGACACAATACCACACACTTCCTTGCTTGCCCCAGACACTCCACCCAAGTAACACTGTAGGTTTGTGGGACTTAGGGAAAAATTATACGAAATAATGGAAATAAAAATACGCTTGAGATGCTGGCCGCTGGGAATAATATCCGAAAACTTCATCATGTTAGAGAAAATTAACATCACTTCAGGCTCTTTCTTTTTATGAAGCAAAAAACTACTTAGTCTTAAACGGTGTTCACAGGAGGCTATTTCACAGGCAATTTTAGATGCGATTAGTTGAATCTAAAGTTAGCTGCTCCCAACTTCTTTGGAAACGATTAGTTGAAAGGCCGTTCACACCAGGCGATTGTTGATTTCAGTTAAAAGTTGCCTGTAAAATCGCCTCATGGAAACAACGTATTAGAGTGCATAGAGGAACTTTATTTCCGAGCAAATCACAAAGATAAACAACTGCTCTGGATATCAGTGTGCAAAAGCGAACATGGCAAAGAGGTTAGAAAGGCCGGCAAGAGATAATATAATTGTTGTCGAAATATTGTTGCTGTTGTAACAGTAAAAAAATACCAAAGGTTTTTTCGGGAATGCTGCTGGAATGCCAAACCTTGATATGGATCGTTCTGGTTACAAAGAGCCGAATGTCATGTGAACGTTGTCCGTTGTTCCGGTAGCTAATATGATTTCAGGAAGAGGTTAAGGAAAGTAAAGAAGGGCATAGAAAGGTTGCGCCAGACGAAATACTTTTTGGTATAACCAAGGTTTTTCTAGCCCCTCTATTAGCAGAGTGAGACCACATACAAGCAATCGCTAAACACAATCATATTTTTGAAATTTCTAAAGCGTGTAGATTTATAAGAAGTGTAATGAGGATGAACAGAGGTCTCCAGCGTTCATACGCATGTCTCAAAACGCATGAAACAAGACATGCAAACATGCTATAAGTGAACAGTGAAATTTTAAGAGTTTGTTTTTCAGCTTATATGTATGTACTTGAGCTAAAAGCTTCTAAAATTTATCTGCCTTTTAAACACAAATTTAGTTTACAAAAGAGTTTTTAAGGTGTTGACAGCGCTTCAGGCGTTCAGAGCAGAACTCCACGAAAGCCTTTTCATGCAACCACCGCCTTTCAAGCTTTCAGCACTTTATTTAGCTATAAGTTGCCAGAGCGGTGAAGGCCAAAACGGCCTTCCTTTGTTCACAACTCTTCAGGCTCGCAATACTTGGAACACTTGAAGCTGAAGGAAGTTAGAATTCAACATCAAGCTTTTCAAGCTTTATGGATTTCGGCACTTACACGACCGTAATACAAAATTTATAGCGGAATAGGGCAATAAAGGCCTCAAAAGCGCTGAATGCCTGAAATGTTTGTTGTAGAAAGCATTGAACGCCTGAAGATCTGCTGCAGTTCTACTCTAATTGTAACTAATTTAAAGTTTTTTTTTTCTTCTTCACAGTACACCTGCCTCATTTGCAATTTGTTCGACGACACCGATAAGAAGCAATATCACTGCAATGGCTGTGGCATCTGTCGCATTGGTGGTGCTGAGAATTTCTTTCATTGTGAAGTTTGCGACATGTGCCTGCCCATCAGATTGAAGATCGACGGTCATCGGGTAAATAAATTTAACAATTCAATTACTAAATACAAACATACATACACATCTGTGGACTTTTGGCAAAACAACTTGTTGTAAGTTGAGACGATTTGCTTTAGATTAAAAAATAATAATAAATTTCCATTTGCAAATTTCTTTAGTAAGCTTTTTATTAAACTAAATATATCTTGAAACTGCAACTATGATTAGTTGAAAATGGTATAGAACTCAATGAATTAGCGCTTCAAAGAGAAAGATCGCTTTCGAGTTAAGTTGTTTTGGCGCATGTCCAAAGATATATACTTATGTACGTACGGTCGTATGTATGTACATATCATAATCACCCCAGCAAAATGCTCTGCTTGACAATGCAGTTCTTTAAATATTCCGTTAGTTGGCTCTTAGATACATCCTCAAAGCGATATCTTAAGAAATACGAGTTTTTGTGTTATCTTTATATCAGCCCTATACAATTTTATCATGCAGTCAGAGCCAAAATAAGTATACAGCTTGCTCTATTTTCAAGAAAATATGTTTTCATTCGTATTTTATGAAAAAATTAAATTTTCACAGTTTATATAAAAATCCTAAAAATTCAAAAAAAAATCGTCAAAATTTCAAACTTTTTATTTTATTATTATATTTTTTAAAATATATTTTGGTCATGCGTTTTATGGACAAAATGCGCAACACCCTTCACAACAAAAAATCTGAAAAATTAACGGTAATTTTTAGTGACTTGAAACTTGCACTTTATTGCACTAAAATTGTATGGGCTAAAAAACTGCATACCTGAAAGTTTTCTAAAAATTTTGAATAAATTAAATTGAATTTTTGTGAATGTTATATAAAGTATGAAACTTTTATTTTTTTGGTTTATATTATAGAATGAACTATATTTTCATACAAAATATTAATATAAACGATTGGTTCAAATCGTTTTCGCGCTACAAAAACCAAAAGATTTCAAAACATATGAAACAAAATGAAAGCAAAAATTCTGTAGAATTAAAGACATAAAGTTTTTGGGCCCACAAGGATGAATAGGTATTGAAAATGTCCTTATAATTAATTTAATTAGTTTTATTTTATGAAAATTTTTTAACAAGCTCGAGGCCCAGCAATTTAATAAATCGGAAACTTTCGTTCTATTAATATTTTTTTAATTGTCGGTATTTTTTAAGCTAATAAAATTAGAAGGAGACGAAGTTTTAAGTTGTGGTGATGTGTAACATCAAAAATAAGTATTGCAAATTTTCAAGAATATTCAGGGATAAAATTTTAAAATAACATTTTCAATATCTATTCGTGTTTATGCACCAAAAAATTGCATCGTTTTTAAATCTACAGGATTTTCGCTTTTAATTGATACTCACGTTGTTATTTTACATTGCACTGATTTTTTTTAATAATTTTTTTAATTAATTAATAATCTCTTTGAAATTTGGAAATCCTTACAAAAAAAAAACTCCTGTCGTCTGAGAGAAAAACTAATAAAAAACGCAGTTTTACTATTTTTATGAGCGCCCGATATGTAAATTGAAAAAGTTGTTTTCTTCTTCTGTAAAATCCTAAACTTGTCAAATAGGAAATTTTGCTTTGATGGTAACGATATACTACTTGTACATACCTACACACATATATGTACTATATAGAAATTTACATACATACCTGCTATAAATGCATATGACGAATGACGTTCTATTTTCTTTTTATTTCTTTTGTATTCACATTTATCAATTCCATGCAGTGCGTTGAGAATATTTCGCGTTCACATTGTCCGGTATGCCTAGGCGATATACATACATCACGCATACCATGTCACATACCCGATTGTGGTCATTTGCTGCATAAGACTTGCTTCGATCAGTTACTCAACTCTGGACATTATACATGTCCTATTTGTCAGACATCGTTAATTGACATGACAGCGCTGTGGGAGTATTTGGATGCGCAAGCGGTGTCATTGCCGGTGCCAAAGAAGTATGAGAATCAACGAATACATATTTTTTGTAATGACTGTCACAAGGTATGAGTATGAATATGAGTATGGCTAGAATTTAAATAAAAAATTAAATTGTATAAAAAAATGTATTTGATACAAAGTTGTCTCCATTAAGATTGTGAACTTTACCTTATACTTTTTTCTTTTGAATCACTTGCAGACTTCTAAAACCAAATTCAACTTTATCGGCCTTAAATGCATGCAATGCGGTGCCTACAATACAACTCAGGATGTGAAGCGGCGCATGTCGCTGGTGACAGGTTAGCGCTGCCTTTTGCACTTGTTTTTAACTCGAATTTCAAAGCTGTTCTTGTTCTTGTTTTTTTTGCCTTAATTTCAGATGAACCCTCGTCGGCATGACGGCACACTCTTTATTATAGATATTTACACACCTTTCTTTGCAAGTAAAATTGTTGTAGGATTTTTTTTTTGTTGTTGTTTGGCCGTTAAATAATGGAACTCTTGCCATTTGAGATTGTACACTGCTGGAGCGCCGCCTGTTTACGCTGCACAAAAATGCTAGTATGTGTTTGGTAGCAGCCTCCATGTTAAGTAAATTATGGTTAATATTTTTCCTTTTTCCTCCCTTTAATTTAACAGCAAGGCGTGAAAGTCTTCGAAATACTGAAATGGGTATACTATTTCACATGCCTGATACATAACAAACAACATTTGGGCAATTCGGGTGCTTTAGCAGCTTTACGTTAACTATTGCGATATTTGAATGAATGTGTATGTAAACTACTCGTAAGTTAATTCGAGCTGGTATCGAATACATAAATCGAATTGAATATATCGTGCTGTTAATAGTTTACATTTACATACATAAACATACATAATATATGCATTAGATTTGAAATAACAGTTTTGTGTAGTCAACCAATTTTATTATATATGTATTAGTTTATATTTAAATAAATAACATACATTTTTGAAAAGTAATTTAGTATATGAAGGTTATAATATTATGAATTAAATTGACTTTTTTCTTTTAATATAAGCAACTTTAGATTGGGCACAAACTGTTGGCAATGTTCAACGCAAGAAGTCTTTGGTATGGATATAGAGTTATGAATTCGATTTATTGTCCCAAACTGAAGAAATAAAAATATTTAATAAATAAACCAAATGATTTCAATAATTGAACGCATTTTATAGATTGTTCTAATTTTAATTGGATTATTGCCTATGTAGACATAAATTGATAATACTCATTAAACGCATTTAACTCGTTAGTCGGAACAGGAGCTTAGCTTTTTAAAAGTTTTTGTATTGTGCAAGAGTAATATATTTTCGACCCTTTACGAGTTATTCCGAAGTCGAAACTCAACAACCGGTTCGTTTTTATCTTCTTAACCTCAAATAATCTACTGTTTTTGCAAAATTTCAACTCAATAAACTGAACTTCTAAGCTGGTTTTCATTTTCAATAACTAGTGGGCCAAAAGGAAATTTATATAGTCCAAACTTTAAAAACTGTTACTTAAGGTACCGCGAAGTGAGAAGCTGTGTAAGCTTAATGATTTTTTCTTTTTAGCACACGTAAATGCATCGGACCAGAAATATGTTTTATATATTAGACGGCAGGTAACAAAGGCGTTGAACGACTTCTTCTAGATTCTACAACATTAATTTTTTATGCCACCAAATACACGCACTTTCATTTGCAAAATGTTAAGCCATTAACAATAAATTTGCCCTAAAACGTCATTGTGCGTTAACGGATTTACTGTTAATAACACGAAAATAAATTAAACCAAATTTTTTTAAAAATTTAAAGCTTTACATATGTAAATAGTTATACATATACTACATGCGTTTTCTAAATATAAAATACATACATGCATACTATGTATATATAAAGCAATACATTAACTTACAATCAACTGCATATAAAAATTGTTGCGTTCTTGTTGTTGTTGTTGTAGCGGCTACAACAACCCCGCCCAGATCGGTTNAAATACATACATGCATACTATGTATATATAAAGCAATACATTAACTTACAATCAACTGCATATAAAAATTGTTGCGTTCTTCAAATCGAATGCTAACGAACTTATCAGCTCGGCATAAAATAATAAATACATATCACATTTTCGACAAAACGTTGTGCTTTAGTGTTAATAGTAGTAGTGTCATAAAATACTAAGCTAATGGAAACTCGTTTATCTGTAGTATACGTATAAAACTAGTACCTTCTTAGTACGGTAATACATACACCTTTTCGCATTGTCAAATTTTAAAGCTATTCAGTACATCTATTGATTTCAACTGCCCTGGAGTAAATATTGTATGTATATGTATGTATGTATAAAGCCATTACAGCATATTTGTATATAATAATACATATATAGCACATATATAAATATATAATTTTATAATTATGTATAGTTCATTTCTCTCGACTATAATTACAAGGCCCTCTCATATTTATTCGGCTTTTATTAGTATCTCCTTTTCTGCATTGGCAACATTTGCTTCATTCATATCCTTTTGCTGTCGCCGTTTTTCCGCTGCCTTTTTAATTTTTGTCAAATATACTCCCAAGGCCATCATAACAAACCAACCCACATAACCAATATGATATACAGAGCTGTAAAATGTCCATATATTAGTGAATGATGCTAGAAGGAAAGCAATGCCAAGGTAGCTGAATGCAAAAAATTTTGCAATCCAAAAGATAACATCGATTATTTGGCGCTGCAGGCCGACAGTGTCCTTGCGCACTAATTTATTCCACATATCTTCCAGGGAAACGTAAAACGGTGCACCCATAATACAGAAATAGTGACCAGGACGAAAACCATGCCAAAAGGCGGAACATAACAATGTAACGATGGTTCTAAAAAATAGGTGTGAGCAATGAAATACTAGATAAGATTGTAAGATTTTTAGAACACATACATACAAATTGTGGAAATGGATTTCAGGCAGAATGGGCATAAGAAATATGTATTTTAAAGATATAATGATATGAGATTCCAATTGAATAATTTGTACTGTCTTAACCTATGTACATATATACATAAATCATTAATAGCCAACAAAGTGAATAGCAAAAATTTAAATCATTTCAGCGTTCTTCACCTTGTCAACTTCAAAATTAAACATAAAACCTATACAATAAACACAATAGGTCCCACCTGTACTTCTTGCTTGGGAATAGCTTGTAAACGTTCACCGCCAACCAGTATTGGATACATATATTCCAATGTTTCATACCTTCACGGAATGTCCAGCATGTCTCTACGCTGCGTACTCGTGTATTTACAATTGTTGTGAAATTATAGCTATGTTTTTCAGCATCACGTTTCAAATGTGCATACTGTTTCCGTGGACCTTCACCATTCGCAACATCAGCGTCGTCGGGATAAGCGCCAAACCCTGCCATAGTGCAAACGCATTCACTTAGCGTTAAGCCAGTGTATATGCGCATGCGAAAGACAAAGAATGTCGGCCATACGTACATAAGGCGATAGATAAATGAACGCTCTTTATAGAACTCATCGCTCAAGGCATACTAAATGTCGACAAGAATTAGCAATATTTTGTTGTTAGATAGTTTATTGCTTACCTCAAGCGGCCATATGTAGTTAGCGACCAAATAAAGTGAGCAGTAGAGACCGGCATACTTTAGTTTCTCTATTGTAGCGGCAATATGAGGCGCATAGTCTTTAAATGGCATATCGAAATAATCGAGGTATGTGCGGTAGCGGTAATATGGACCTAGATACGATTGATGTAAAAGGGGATATTTACTATATTAACAGCATGGAGTCAATTCTTATTTACTAAGGATGTACCTGTTAAGACGCCAATATAGTTAAAGCAATAATGGAAGATCTCAACAAATCCTATATTTTGTAACTCTACATCGTAATCTGTAATTTCCACCAGCTGTTCGCTTGATGTTGTGCCTTCAGCAGTCTTTCTTTCAGCAATTTCTTTATCACGTTGCCGCAATTTTTTCCAAGCAGCCGTCTTTTCAAAGGCTACACCGGAAACCTAAAAGGTACGCAGATCAATATTAACAGACTATGGAGTATAATTTATGTTTTTAAGAACAAATAATACCTTCAATGTCAGTATCATCTGTACCATATTGGTGTGGCCAGGATAATTTGGCAGACCAAACCAATGTACCAAACGAAAGAATACCAAATAACCGAACATTATGCAAAATGTAATCAAGTGGCCTTGGCTATATGTTATAGTGTAAAAATTTTAGATCCAGCGGTCAAAGTTTAAGTACAAAGGTTATGCTTACCTTGGGTGCACGTAGATTNAAACATTATGCAAAATGTAATCAAGTGGCCTTGGCTATATGTTAGTGTACAAATTTTAGATCCAGTGGTCAAAGTTTAAGTACAAAGGTTATGCTTACCTTGGGTGCACGTAGATTACAGCCAACGCTCCTACGACCGTAGAAGTAATGCAATGCAAGGCATGGTACCCTGAAGCTATAAAAACCACCAGCAATCCGAGTCCGGTGCTAATAAATTTTCGTTGCGTTTCATCGCTTATTTTTTTGATATAATGTCCAACGCCGATACAGCCAAGTAGGCAGATGACGTAGATCACGTCATCAAGGCTCATAATTTTAATATTTTTATTAAATACGCAGACTAGCACTTCTGAAAACTGCTAAAACAAATAAAAAATCAACAAAGAAATGCAATCGCTGTTATCAGAATGATGCACTTTGTTAGTGACGATATCGATTAATCGACAAGTGTCTTTAATGCTCGCAATCGATTTTAAAGGTGGTTCAAATATTGATTTTTTAAAGTTTGTGTTTATAACAATCTTTTTAGGGATTTACGGAACACATCAAGATAACTAGCCGTTCAGCAATGGGAAAACTAAAAACGCAGACCGATAGTGCTTTGTACGCTGATTTTAACTATATAAATATTATTTGCCGCAATCAAAAAGTAAAGAAGATATAAAAGGTTAAAGAAAATTTTTGCGATATTTTAAAATATTAATATTTTCTAAACTACAAAACCGATTAAAAAAGTAATAATACCAAAGCAAAGACAATTAACCTATCTTTAAGTTGATATATAAAATGTGTTTGCTTGCTTATCTATTTAAGCCAAAAATATTAGAAAACAAATAAAATGTTATAAGTTTTTCATAAAATAACAATTTTTAGAAAAAAGTGCATGATCAATGCTAAAGACATATATATTATTTAGAAAGTGCAAGTTCTTACCTTTAATTTGATATACATATTTTATTATGATCTACTTTTGAGGTTTAAGAATTCCGTGATAAAGAAAATTAAAAGCATTTACAAGCAAGTTACAAGTGTNGAAAATTAAAAGCATTTACAAGCAAGTTACAAGTGTGGGTGCCCAGAACGTCTTTCTGCGTAGGCGGCCTTCGGCCGCGCTTAGGGATCATAACCCTTACAAAGTAGAATTTTCCTTTCTGTATTGCCGAAGAAGCGGAGCTGAACACCTTTCTGTGTAGGCGGCCTTCGGCCGCACTTAGGGATTATAACCCTTACCAAATAGAATTCTCCTTTTGGTGTGCACCAACTGGGGCTACCGGCCCAGTGATGTAGCCTTGGGAAAGGATGAGGTAACTAAAATTCCCTTTCGATGTGGTAAACCTGGGGCTGCCGCCCCAGTGATGTCTATTATAGTTACTAGGTGTTTTATAAAAATGTCTTGTATATAAAAATGTCTTGTGCAAATGAATATTTAACATTTTTCAAGCGAAAAACCGCAAATGAAAATTGTGAATTTTGGCCATTTTCCTAGGAAACCATAAGGGACCTAGGTTGTCAGGGGTTATATTTTTGTCAATGGCGGTTCATTCCCTCTCCAAAAAGGTGGGTTAGAGGTGCCACGTCCACTTACCTTTCGGCCACCGCCCCTTTAACGAACGGCCATAATGGAAAGCCAACCCGTTGAATCAACTACAATATGCATTTGCACACACATGCATTTATATTTTTTATTATCACTGAATTCTGAAAACTCAAAANTACCATCCCAGTGATGTAGCCTTGGGAAAGGATGAGGTAACTAGAATTCCCTTTCTGTGTGGTAAACCTGGGACTGACGCCCCAGTGATGTCTAGTATGGTTACTGGGTGTTTTATAAAAATGTCTTGAGCAAATGAACATTTTTCAAGCGAAAAAACGCAAATGAAAATTGTGATTTTTGGCAATTTTTCTGAGGGGTCCCTAGGGAACCATAGGGGACCTAGATGGTCGGGGGTTGCATTTTTGTCAATGGCGGTTCATTCCCTCTCCAAAAAGGTGGGTTAGAGGTGTCACGCCCACTTGCCCTTCGCCCACCGCCACTTTAACGAACGGCCATAATGGAAAGCCAACGCGTTTAATTAACTACAATATGCATTTGCACATACATGCATTTATATTTTTTATTATCACTGAATTCTGAAAACTCAAAAGCAAATCATGATATAATATGTATATCAAATTAAAGGTAAAAACTTGCACTTTCCAAATAATATAAATTTTTTTAGTATTGATTATAGACTTTTTCTAAAAAAAAGGTTATTTTATGAAAAAATTATGACATTTTTTTGTTTTATAATATTTTTGGCTGAAATATAAAAAAAAAAAACATACACATGTTATATATCAGCTTGAAGATAAATTAATTAACTTTATTTTGATATAATTACCTTTTGAATCGGTTACGCAGTTTAGAAAATATGAATATTTTAAAAAATAAAATTTTTTTGTTTTACCTTTTATGTCTACTTTACTTTTTAATTGCGGCAAATAATATTTATATAGTTAAAATCAGCGTAAAAAGTACTAGCAATCTGCATTTTTAGTATTTCTATAGCTGAACGGTTGGTTATCTTGATGTATGCCGGATTTACTTATATGATAAGTTGTTCATTAACAATTTTGGGTACTCTTTAGGAATTTGTACAACGATTTTGGGTTGCTGTGCCCTAATTTAACAATAATGTCGGTTGGAAATATGGTATTTGTTTCAAATTTTTGTTATAAATTTGTATATACATTTTTATATACAAGACATTTTTATAAAACACCTAGTAACCAAAATAGACATCACTGGGGCGGCAGCCCCAGGTTTACCACACCGAAAGGGAATTTTAGTTACCTCATCCTTTCCCAAGGTTACATCACTGGGGTAGTAGCAACGATTTAGGGGTGGGGCGGAGGGGAGGAGGCGTGGCTCCCCAAAGCCCCATCTAAACGAAAGGATGGACGCCGCTTTATGAAAAGTTTGGGCACAGCAACCCAAAATCGTTGTACAAATTCATAAAGAGTACGAAAAAAACACTTGAAAAGCATGTTCTTATTAAACATTGTGGGAAATCTTTAGCTATTTGTACAACGATTTCGGGATGGGGGGCGGAGGGGGAGGGGGCATGCCTCCCCAAACCCCCCCCCTAAACGAAGGAGGATGAACGCCGCTTTATGAAAAGTCACCCC